CGGAATCTAGCAGAGCAAACCTTGAACGACGATAAGTCCGACAACAAAATAGAAATATACCAAAAGAGACACAAGCATTTAACGTGGTTCGGTCAAGTGACCTACGTCCACAATGGAGATGAGCAATCCACTATAATAAAAGAGAGTATAAAATATCGAGAGAACAACCTCACGAAGAGGCAAACACAAGTGACACACTAACACTTGTCCCGTAAAGTTCTCCTCCTAAACACGACTCTCAAACCCCATATGGCTACATTGTGGATGCTACTGAATGAGAAGGAAGGATCCTCAATTTATAGAACTCCAAACCTTTTTCCTACAAGAAAAGGGACTAGCCAAATATGAAAGAATTATATTTTCCTTCTAGGAAAAGAAAAACTCAATTATGGTAAATATGTTGCCCTTTCCTTCATGAGATAGGAAAACCAATTATGGTAAGAAAATCTTGACAAACACCTAACAATTCTCCCCCTTGGCATGAATTTTCTGACAAAATAAACTTGATCCACCTTCTTCACATAGCCTTCAACAGGTCGCATCTCCAAATCTCCACCACAAAGTTTGCCTCAACGTGCGTAGCACTTCGGTCAAATTTTTCAAACAAAAATCACGATTATCGTCAAATATGTTACAGCTAGAACTAAACCCGCCAAGATGAACCTGTCTTGAACCTCGCTCTGATACTACTTGTTAGGACCGAAAAATCAGGTGTCATGCGGAATCTAGCAAAGCAAACCTTGAATGACGACAAGTCCGACAACAAAAGAGAAATATACCAAAAGAGACACAAACATTTAACGTGGTTCGGTCAAGTGACCTACGTCCACAACGGAGATGAGCAATCCACTATAATAAAAGACAGTACAAAATATCGAGAGAACAACCTCACGAAGAGGCAAACACAAGTGATACACTAACACTTGTCCCGTAAAGTTCTCCCCCTAAACACGACTCTCAAATCCCATATGGCTACATTGTGGATGCTACTGAATGAGAAGGGAGGATCCTCAATTTATAGAACTCCAAACCTTTTCCTACAAGAAAAGGGACTAGCCAAATATGGAAGAATTATATTTTCCATCTATGAAAAGAAAAATCCAATTATGGTAAATATGTTGCCCTTTCCTTCATGAGATAGGAAACCAATTATGGTAAGAAAATCCGGACAAACACCTAACACCAAGTGCATCACTCATTCGCATAATGTATTTAGATTAATCTTTTGCTCTAATTGTTAAGAAATTAAACTATTGGATGATCCTCCTAATTTTAGTTACTTAAGATTGAATAGTAGACTGATAAGACCTACCGTTCTAATAGGTTTTCACTTGAATAATGCATTACTAAAAAATAAGATTTAGCGGCGAACAAATTCTGTAATTAAACAAAAAAAATTTATAGCGGCAGAAACGAGCAATTTAACGACAGACTAACGATGCAGTTCCTAGCTAATTCCAGAAATTTTTTGTAGTGATGGTTGAGCTACTAGTCATCTTCCCAATCATAAGCTCACTTGAAATGAAAACACATGTAGTGTGGGGAGTAATTGATTTATGTCCGTATCTACATTGTCAATCTAATCAATCATATTTGGAATTAGTATTATGTTATCATAATCAAAGGATCAAAACAAATGGATCTATTCATTTCAAACCAAGTAACTCAATTCCTTATCCTTTTCTAAGGTCACATGCATAGTCTCAACTTTATTTATATCCAAATTTAGATTAAAAACAAAGCATCCATTTCTTCTCCACTATACCCTATTACTCAAAATAGAAACCATGTCCCTTTTGTTAAGAATAAAATTCTCTCTATACTCTACTTCTTTCCCACTCCCAATAATTGATTCCCATTCTTTCTACTTTAATTCACTTCCATTATTTCACATCCTTCTTTTTCCTTTTCATTATCTTTTGGGAGTGACTTTTTTTGCTTTTGTCTTTTTAAGTTGAAGGAGGCAAAAGAGAGGAGTTTAGACTATAGAAGGGTGTTGTCTACTTTCTTGTCACTATTGTAATGTACTTAAAAGAAAAAACAATAGTATACATTACAACTCTTAAGTTTGGAATTAGACTTACATGAAATTTAAATATATATATATATATATGCATTTTTTTCAGCATCGGTATCAGAAACTACTAGCTCGACTAATTTGGACGTGCATCATTTACGCCCTCTAATAGGTGTAAAATACTCGCTTCTTATAAGAAGTTTCCCCATTCTCAGAGGTCAAACACAAAGCATCGAGTTAAGAGTTGAAGAGTGCTGGAATATATCTCAAACTATTTTATCATACCGCTTAGTTGTGACATTATGCATTAAAATACTAAAGAGCTTCCGTTTCAATTTTAGTTTGATCTTTTGTTGCCCTACTGAATTGTACTATAGAGCTTTTTTTTTATAATTTGGATTCTAGCTATTTTTGTTTATTTTTGCAACTTATTGAAATCCATTGTATAGAGCTACTATAGACTGTGGCTAATTTTGAAAATTGCTCAAGGGCAAAGAATGTCTATTTATCTAAGTATTAAGAGGTACTACTATGACATTGAATTAAATATAAATGGAAAAAATGATTGTCACCTGTCTTATTATTGTTATCATAGCTTGCTTTATTAAGTTTCCCGTGAATGTATAATTCTTAAATTAGTAAAGAATTAATATGAATGTTCATAACTAAAAGTGTTAATATCAAATTGTTCTCTTTCGGCAAAGTAGAGTATTCTCTGTCTCTCATTCCACTTATCATCGTTTTCATAAATAGTATAAAGATAACTATAACCATATAATAAATAGATATATATTCATATGAACATACCTATAATCCAATTAAGTAAAAAAAATCTTGCGTAAAATAAATTTCTAGAAGCAAAAAGAGCAAAGTTAAGAATATCTTTTTGACAAGTTAGATTAGGGAGGATCAATTGATTATTTAGTGGTCGCAACCATGGCTTTGATACACCGTCAAAGGTTATGGTAGGATGAACTAGATCCCTTCACCTTTAATTGACGATTTTGGATTTGTAAATGAAATAAATCCTGATAATAAATGCTTTCCTTGTAGTAAATCTTATGCAAAACAAATTTGGATTAGTCAGAAAACCAATACGAGTAACGAACACATGTAGAACCGGACTCCATCTTTATTTTCGTCCGATTAATCACTTTTTCAAAAAATCTATCAGCGCCAGAACAATATATATATATATATATATATATATATATATATATATATATATATATATATATAATTCTGGCCCCTACCTTCAAACTCTCAAATACCTTCTTGGTACTTTCTTACGAATCATCCACTAAACTCTTATTGGATATACCACTTGTTTGATTCCCATGATAACAACAATGACATCTATGTTCTTATATTCCTTCAAATTAAAGTATTATTTTATTCTAATACTCAGCACTTAGCATTATAATAAAACTTTGAACAAAGCAAACTTTTTGGATTTGTTTGCCATTTCCACTCGACTAAAGAATAAACATTGGGAAAAACAAAGGTTTTGGTTCAGAGGAAACATCACTATCTTGAAGTATTAAATAATAAATTATTATTCTGTATATTTTCTTGGCTAAGTTATGGTTGCCGCCCTTTTGATCAAACCCCACAATCCCACGTTTAATTTACTTGGAAATAAAATAATATTTTAATATAAGATAGTGTAATATTTTAGTCAAGCACGTTTCTTATATAAATTAAAGGGAAAGAGGAATCAATTTCCAAGGAGGTAGCAAAGCAAAGTTCATTTTCAAGATCATACTTTTCTTGACTCCCTTTTCTCAAGGCTTTTCTTTGCATGTAAAATCCATCATTTCAATATGGTTTTCTTTACATTGTATCAAGACCTAAGTACTTATCTTAATGCATCATCCACATGTGTACTTTTGACTCAATAGTAGAAGAGACAACTTAGACCACTAATAGACCTAAAACACCCCACCCCCAACCCAGGGGCGGAGCTAGCATAGGTGTTACGAGTTTGGTCGAACACAGTAATTTTGGTCCTAACTTAGTAATTTTGGTCCAAATTTTATATTTGTCTTAAAATATTCTTTGGATATGTATAAATTGTTAATTTAGAACCCAATAAATTAAATGGACTAGAATACCAAACGCATAAGCTTCAAACTCTAGCTCTACCTCTGCCTCTGTCTCACCCCCACCCCAAACTCCCATCTCTTATTTCATAAAGAATTTTTCTAAATCCACTCATTTCGTGTTGAAACTATGTTTATATCAAAGGCATATACGAGATAATTTGCTAATAACAAGAATAGGATTGAACCAAAAGTATAATGAATGAGAAAATTAAAGAATTTCGAATAATATGAGGAAATTTAACCTTTTCCATGTTATATATTTACTTTAAAAAGACTGTTAAAACTTTCTAAAAAGATTAGCTTAATTTATATTTAAGCAATTTTCTTAGTTTCTCTATTTTTTTATTGGAAGTGGGAGAGGGGCAAAGATTGTGTAATTAAATGGTCAACATTCATCCACAAGTAAAAGAAGGGGGTCCATCCACATGCATTTAGAGCAGACTTTGATGCTCATACAAAGATCATTATTCTTCTTACTAAATGGCACATTGCACAATCCAACTATCACCACATCATCAATTAACAAATTCCATTTGAGTTTTTATGGTTTAAAAATAGGGGCGGAGCTAGAGTATAGGATACGAGTTGTCAAACCAAATTGTTTTTATTTAAATTCTATATTTATATTAAAAAATTTCTTTTATATATATATTTATTTATTTAATTACGAACTCAGTAACTAAAATGAGCTATGAGTTTATCAGCCAGTTGAAACCTATATAAATTTTAAATCTTGGTTTATTATCATGTGGGAGAAATTTACACTTTCTTTAATGGGGTCTACATACCCCTATTCATATCATATGTTTTTTCCTTTGGACACGTATATGAAATACTTTTGTCATCATCTATAAAATACCTCTTTAGCCTTTAAATTCTCTTTCACATTCACTCTAACTTACTTGCAATTTTCTTCTACTCTTCTCTTCTATTGACATATGAGCAAAAACATAGTAATTATGAGTAATAATTCCTCAAATGAAGATGATCAATTTGAGTTAAGAAGAGGGCCATGGACTCTTGAGGAAGATAATCTTCTAATTCATTATATTTCTACCAATGGTGAAGGTCGTTGGAATGCCTTAGCTAAATGTGCTGGTAATTAACACATCATTTTCTTTACATTATTCTTGAATTTAAGTAAGAAATATTTTCATAAAAGTTGTACTTTTTTTCATTCTTATAGTTGAATTTGAAAAACATCTATTGTTCAAAACAAGATTTTTCCTATTATTTATTTTCTAGCTAATGGTCTCCTCCTAAAATATAATATTATAGAGATAGGCAATGGAAAATATGTGAAAATTGTATAATATTGGAAATTCAACAACAACAAACCCAGTATTTTCCTATAAGTGGGGTCTGGTGTATAATATTGGAAATTAAAAATTAAAAAAGGAAAATCTTTATTTGTTTTATTGAATTCTTTTTTGCAGGATTGAAGAGAACAGGGAAAAGTTGTAGACTGAGGTGGCTGAATTACTTAAAACCTGATATTAAACGTGGAAACCTCACCCCACAAGAACAACTCTTAATCCTTGAACTTCACTCCAAATGGGGAAACAGGTAAATTCAGATATCCAAACTCCGTCTTCTTCGGACTTTGATCCAGTCCAGTGGTAAGAGCGCAATACGTGATATATAAACTAAACATCACGAGTTCGAACCTTACCATAGGTTAGGCACATGTCATGAGTTCAAACTATGTAAGCAGACAAAATCTTGATATTTAAGTAAAAAAAAGGGTAGAAAGATAATTATCACATCTTGATATTTAAGTTAAAAAAAGGGTAGAAAGATAATTATTATCCATCGAGTTTTGAACCGTGCGATACTGATTATTGACTTTGTCAAACACATAATTCTTGATTTTCAAATGCCATAATAAGGGGTCATTTTTATTAATCATGTTTGTGAATCCAGGTGGTCAAAAATTGCTCAACATTTACCAGGAAGAACAGATAATGAAATCAAGAATTACTGGAGAACAAGGGTGCAAAAACAAGCAAGACAACTCAAGGTTGATTGTAATAGCAAAAAATTTGTTGAAGCAATCAAGAGTCTTTGGATGCCAAGATTACTTGAAAAAATGGAGCAATCTTCCTCCATTGAAAAACATAATCCTTCACTAATTACTCCCTTAATCAACAATCAAGAACCTTATGATAAGGAAAATTCAAGAATGTATTCAACAGATTCAATGAATATGTTGAAGTTGCAGCCTAATGAGATGACAAAAGATGTCACAATCTACAATAATTCAGTACAAAATGAGTGTTACCATGTGGAAAGTTTAAGCCAACAGCCAGATTTTTCATCTCAAGAAATGTCAATTTCAGAGTGTGAGGTGGCAGAAGCTCATTGGTTTAGTGATGAAATGGCTGCAGCATCATTGTGGAACATGGATGAGTTTTGGCAATTCAGAAAGCTAGGAGATATAGACATCTAGCTAGACTTGTGCCAATTTTCAAAGTCAGAAGAGAGGGCCAAAAAAAATGCTAATCGTAATAATAGTATTTTGAAAGACTTACATAGCTATATATCACTTTTGATAATGCCTATGTTATAGTTATAGTAGGTTTTAAAAGTTCTGACTATGACTTAATCTCATAGTTTTCTAGCTCTAATATACTTATTGTACAAAGAAAATATCAAATGGCTAGTTTTTGTGTTTATATATTAAGAACTTGTGCTTTTCTTGATTTCTTGTTTAATTTTTTGTGGTTTTTTTTTTCTTTTTCTAGTAAGGAGTTATGGTTAAGAATACACTTATTCATTAGTTGATTCATTAATTGAGGAGATGATTCTTTAGTCACAGAAAGGTAACTAAGGAAAGATCAAAAGGCTGTGGTCAAATACAAGGAAACTGTTAGGAAGTGACTTACTGAAAGAGAGAGCTCAAAATGCCAAGGAAAAAGACCATAGTGTTGTCCAATCATGTAAAGGAAACATGTATTTCATAGTATTTGTATGTAATATAAAAAGGAGTGTGGCCTATAGGTGATAACCCCCCTCCAAACCCCCAAACAACCTCACACATCACAAAAACCAATCAATATCTGAAATTCACTTGACCGACTAATTTGAATTCACACAACCGACTAATTTGAATTCGCACCTATTAAGGGTGGAGAGATTCCAATCATAGATTCCAATCATCATACCAAACCCCATGTGGTCATCCTCTTTATTTCATCATACGATTAATGCTATCATACCCGATTAATATCTGAAATTCACTGGACCAACTAATTTAAATTCGCACTGAATATGACTACCAACAAAAGATAGATTTTACGTTCGCAAATCTCGAATGCAAGACTAATGGTGAATAGACTCCAACCATCTTATGTTCCTAAATCTATAATCCCGCATGCAATACTTTTGATTAAGGATGGAGAGATTCCAATCATCGCACCAAACCCCATGTGGTCATCCTCTTTATTGTCGTCATATGATAAATTCCATCATCATCCAATTTGTTTTTTTATTTTCAAGAATAAAAGAAGTAAACTCATCTCAAAGTTTGTGCTTTACACCATCATATTTTGATAGAGGTAGGGAAGACTGCTGTCAAATGAAAGGTCAACTAGAAGGAATTGTGTGAAATCCAATCACTGATTTGATTGTTACACCCTCAAAAAAGAAAAGGATAAAAAGGAGAAGAAAAGGGACTTGTGATTTGATGAGAGTGGATGATAAAGATGTACTTTAAGTGATAATTTTTCAAGCAGAGCACAATGAAAAAGTATACCAATGTGCACTTGCAGAAGAATGATTGAATAGAGAGAAATGCAAGTTCTTGATTTCTCAAATAGGAAAAAGCAAGAAATGAAAGAAGAAAGATGGCACTCATATCTCTAGGCTCTAAATATACTTTAGTAATTAGAAGTAACTTATTGCTTTAATATAAGGATGAAAGTTGAAGGGAGCCTTGGCGTAACTGGTAAAGTTGATGCCATGTAATCACGAGGTCATGGATTCAAGCCGTGGAAACAGCCTCTTGCACAAATGTAGGTAAGGCTGCGTACAATAGACCCTTGTGGTTCGGCCTTTCCCCGAACCCCGCGCATAGCGGGAGCTTAGTGCACCGGGCTACCCTTTTTTAATGTAAGGATGAAATTATAGAGCCTTAAGTTGTGTATCATTCCTGTTTATCCTTAATCCAAGAAACAAAAGGCTAACAAGTAGTATGATTCTGACCACTAAATTACTACTATAATGTGGCAAATTCACTATAAAAACAAGAGCACTAAATTTAAAGAAAAGCTTTATGCTAGGAGCAATTAGCTGTCAAATGTTCTTTGGGAATTCACTAAAGTTTTTCATAGTCACATCAGTAAAACTATCCTTAAAAAAAGTTGCATCTCAGCATGTGACCAAACAGGCTAAGTTTCCATGTGAAAATGGAACTTACTATAAGCATCATACTTTTTCTCTTTTCAAACTTCAATTCAATTATCATTGGACATCACTTAATTCTTGAAGAGACTAGGCTCTTCTCAGTTCTCACATGTCACAACTTTGGAACTTACTCCCCTCCACCCCCACCCCCACACCCCCACCCTCCTCCATACCCCCTCTTTATAACGATGATATCCGAACCATTTTGTACACATCTCGATTGTTTCATCAGGTACATGCTGTCTTCCACCAGCATATGTATCGGATAATTCTGTCACCAAAAATTTGGACAAATGGGAAGAACGGATTTGAGCCCAAGATTTTCTCACTTCATTGAACGTCAACCACACACTTGAGGGCAACTTGAAACTCACTTCCTTACTTTAAAAAGGTTATTTTCACTCACAAGCAGAGATTTTCACTTGACCACTAGCCACACACTTGGGTTTAAGTTGAAACTTACTTTCCTACTATGATAAGGGTATCACTCACTTTCATATTCTTGTAGAAGACCTTTGGGAAAATTTAACTGTTAGATTAAAATGACCCCTTTTTCCATGTTGGTAGGTCCTTTATAATTAAAGTAGCTCTATCATCCTCACATAGAACCAAATACGATATTTCTTGTCAAAAAGACCCTTCTTTTTTCTTGCAAAACTATGGGTGTCTTTACCCTTTAGTGGTCTCACATTCGACTCTTTCAGCTTCTAAAATTTCCATAAGACCTATAAAGAAATTTTACACAGGGACCCTACTGATCCCCCATCCTTAGAAGTAAATACATGTCTATCCTTTGATCAGGGTACAGAATTACACAAGATTTGCTCATTTACCACCTTGCAAAAAATTTGCAACTTATTTATTTTTGTTTCATAGGGTAGGGTTCTTGTTTTCTGCACATAATCATGGCCAACTGAGCAATTCCTACTAGGAAGCTCTTCCCCTTCATGGGACCTATGAGGTACAATCTAGATTAGTCGGCCCAACAAATTCCAGTCACCAGATGGCTAAACCAGCAACAAAAAAAAAGACTAGTACCAACGATCAGAATAATCGAAGCAAAGACGGCTTATAATCAGAATTAAAGAAACTACAGTGACAAGCAATAAGCGACTCAAAAATCTGAATATGAAATAGAAGCAGAATTTGGCTTTTCCAGTCAATGATAGAACAATATTAGTGTATTTCATCTCAAGGATAGTCATCGCACGCTAATTTGGTTACTAAGAAATACCAAAGAGTGGTCATGTCATATCTGATGTCATAACTGCATTTTTTGGCAGAAAAGAAACAACAAAAAGGACTTCACAGGGAGAGTAACAAAATTGAGCTACCAAAACTTTATTGTCTTTTTTAAGTAACGATGATTTGTACGAGATCTAACCTTGGTGTATTCCCGGAATACCAAAAACGTTCATTCTTGAAAATGTCTATTTGTACACGTAAATATCAAGAAAAATGCATTTAGTTAATCTCACTCGATCACACACTACCGTTTCACTTCCATTTCTTCATAAAAGCTTCATTTTCCACCCTTGGCATAGCTATCACGCAGCGTGACAGTCCGATTGAAGACCAGTTTCTCAGAAGTGGAATCCTGGTCAACAGCAAAATACCCTGCAAAAGTCATCATTTAAAACAACTCAAGCATTAGAATTCATCTGTTTTGAGAAAATTAAGGAAATCAGGAACAATGGAGGGCATTGGGAACTAAAGCCTTCAGCGGTTTAAAAAATCATATTTTCATATGATGAATTCAAAAATAGAAGCACCAACTCTTCAAACTCGGAATTTGAAATGTGAATCGAAAAAACAAAAATCAAGCAACCAACATTTTTTAGCTCCTGAGACTTAAAATTTGATTTTGTTAAAGCAAATAGAATCTCATCATTAGAAGTAACTTAGAAAAAAGCTTCAGCCAGAATTGGATTGCTGCTATTAGTATTTCAAGGCACCAAAGCAAACATCAAAGAAGTAATAGATACTGTAAAGGAACCTATTTTACGACTCAAGAAGGGGGTAACATTGTAGAGGCACTTAAACTTTCATCTTAAGCTAAATTTCAGCTCCCTACCAAGCAATAACAAGTACTAGAACTTACCGAGCCTTTCAAACTGAAATCTGTCTCCAAGAGCAGCCGTCCTAACTAAGGGCACAGCATAAGCATTTTGTATTACCACTTTAGACTCAGGGTTCAAATCACCAAGCCAGTCTTCGAGTTCAGCAGGATTCTAATCGCAAAACCAAGCAACAATTAGCTTCAAAATAACTGTGATTGAGAAAGGTGAAAAGTGAGTTTGACAAGGTAAAGAAAAGAAACCTCGGAGAGGAAGAGCCTGTCAAATAGCCGGACCTCCACCTTAAGTGGATCAACCCCAGGTGAAGGTTCTGCAACCCAATGAAGAACACCCTGCAACGACATTGTTTCAGGAACAACAGATCTGAAATTCTAAACCAACCATGACACAGAAGAATTTAACGTCAAAAAACCCACCTTAGGCTTGGTCGTCTTGGACGGGTCATACTCTGCCCAAATCTCAAGAACCGTCTCTTTGTCATCAGCAAGAATTACATCTGTACATTTTATAGGGTATGCATACCTGCAATGCAAATAAGCTTTATAGTTTGAACTACATCTAAGGCCAAGTATTGAACTGAAATCGGGCAAATTTTTGGATGACCAAAGATGTGAGTTAACGGACACTACCTTAGTAAGACAGATTTTCCAGGAGCAAGGCCAAAATAATCTTTAGAATCTTTTAACCTAAAATCTGTACGTTCAATGTAGACAACTCTAGAAAAGGGGACCTGCAAAAATAAACAGAAATGGCAAACACATATTAAAGAATCAACGACATTGAATTGCTTTATTATGTGGAGACAGAAAAGTAGAAAACATCCATTATTATACAGTAAAAAATGCATGCACACCTTATAAAATGACGAAGCATCATTTGCTGGAGCTTCAGGCCATTTCTTTGCATCTAGATCCGTTACTAAGCCAGCTTCAAGGTTTGTGATGACAACCTGATTATGAAGTTCATAACTTAAGTTTCTGTAAACTGGCAATAGAATACATACTTGCGCACGTGTCCATCCACGAATACTTTGTTTAAATCTAGATATACCCACCTTAAGGGGATTTAGCACAACCATTGTTCTAGGAGCTGTTTTATTTAGTTCTTCTCTTATATGGTATTCGAGGCGACTTAGGTGTATCATACTACAGTCACTGCATCCAAAAATAGAAAGTTGTCAACACGCTGTCAAACACTGTTTTTCCTTTGTACTG